GTCTGATCAGTGACATGTTCAATGAGGAAGTATTTAAAAAAATAAAAAAACTACAAAAAATTATGTCACTAGATGGCAGCACAAATTATTGGATCTAAACGTCAAAGAGAATAGAATTGTCAGTATTGTATGGATCTGATAACTCGGACTAATATCGAGTTGAAATTTAACTAGTTCGAGTTATGCAAACACAACTTCATTAATACAAAGTAATATTTGAATAAATTTGTTTTTTATTTGTATAGAGGAAAATGGAAACTAAAACAATGGAAGTAAGCACAGAGGTTTTTTTTAAATTTATGGAAATCAATTGAATTAATGTTGCGATATAATTTAAAGTGGCATTTAGCTACGGTATACAAAAATATTATCGCCAAATAGTTTTTTTAAATAAAATAATTATGCCATAGCAGGTCTAGGATTTTTTCATTATAATATTTAACAAAAGTTCTGAAAACAATAACAACTAGGTAAGTTAGTTTTATTGTTATTAGTTGTTTGTTGAACTTACAACAACAAAACTATATCAAGTCTCAATAATATTTTTATATTATGTGTGGTGAATGGATGAATAGGGTTTTTTAATCAGCAACAAAAGTCATAAAAACGATAATTATAAAAAAAAATCCGTTTATTATCTATATACTTACCTGATATGTATCAAATCTACTATGTATTCGTACAAAATAACATAACTTCTGGCTAAAATGACGTTTGTGCAAAGTGTAACGTGTAAATAACTTATGCTTTCGAAATTAAGACTTTAAAATACTATGATCAGTCAAATAATCTTATATTCATAATTAAATCATCTTAATAAACATTCAGCAATCAACAAGTAACGTCTGTTCTAACCGAACAGCAAGGTTTTAACTTTAAATATCAAAATCACAAAGACACGTACAGTTATTATACTATTGCTACTGATCTTGCATGTCGACGGCGGACGTCGAGCCATATGTTAAGTTAATTCGTTCGGTGGGTATGTGCTTTTTGGTTCTTACAAAAATATTGTTAACAATAGACTAACTTCCTACACAACCTCTTCAAATCTCTGCAGTAGTTTCGAGTGCGTTAGGTCGTTACGTTCCCTCAAATATAGTATAAATGAGTTGTATAATTGAAATTAAAAAAGCAGCCCTTGCTGAGTTTCTTGCCGATTCTTGTCAGTACGAGATCTACCTTAGTTGCGCGAACCATTGGCAAAGTTTTCGACTTTCACAAGTAATATGTAACAGTCTAGACTGAATTGATTTTGATGTTTATATTAATATCATTCGTTTTGTGAATGCATAATGACACATACAAATACTAGCTGAATTCTGCGCTCCGCTTTTTGTTCTTAATTCCAAACCTGATTTCGGATGAAAGTTACGAGTAGTGTCCGACCGAAGGTCTATTTTTGGCCGAAGCCGATTAATAGGCATTCGGCAAAAACCGAAGCCGAAGCCGAAGGTTTATAATCTCTCAGTAATTAATTTTGTTCAATATTGTCTACAAGCTACAATTAATATTAAAATTATTTCAAAACTTAAATATTGAAGGTTTATATTGACTGTCTAGTAGTAGTAGTTGACTGTCTAGCTGTATAGAAGTTGATTTACAGATACACGTACAAACTTGTCTTGACGCACATGCAATGTGATATTTTGACAGTGAAGGCGCTTGTGCACTACACTGAATTTTCATGTCCGGCGGTCCGATTTTTTCCGGTCTGATATGTCAAGCTATATGTAGGTAAAGCTAGCCTGTGCACTGTTATGAATTTTTTTTCCTGTCCTCGACGTCTTCGCACGTACAGTAATAAAGCAAGCAATTACCAACGTTTAAAAAATCTCATCGTACAGCTTCAAAGAGAGACGTGTAGCTTCAAAGAGAGCTACCCTAAACTGCGCCGCTCCGATCCGGAAAAAGCTGACAAGTGCACAAGCTATTCATCCGAGTTATTCATGTCATTCGGGACCGGAAAAAGTCGGACCGCCGGACCTGAAAATTCATTGTAGTGCACAAGCGCCCTAACTCCCCGCAGCCTCTGCAAACACTACCAGTCCGTCGCTCTCTCACTCAGTCTTTCGTAACAGTTCGTTCAATCTTGACGGTAGCTCGGACCTTCGGCGAAACTTCGGTTTCACCGAATATGGTTTTTTGGCCGAAGGTGGCCGATGCCGAAGCCGAAGCCGAAGCTTCGGTCGGACACTAGTTACGAGCAACCAATAAGTTGGCTCATCACTAATGTTGACGTATAAACCAAACATCGTTCCTTTACATGTAACATAATTAATTTGAAAGTTATATATTATAAGAAACACAAAACGATGTCATATTTATTCATTTTCGATACTCAATTTACTTTTATAACATCAGAAACATAATTTGAATGAATATCATAAACAAAATCCAAACATTGCGAGTGACATCTAGTATGATTTTAAGAACTAATTTTTATTTTTTAAATACTTCCTCATTAAAGTCTATGAATTATTGGGGAGTATCGTGCCATATGCATATATACTATGCTGGAAGAGATCCTAGTGACACTTTATGACAGCGTTACTATTTTAGCGTTTTTAGTACTGGCATGGCCGTATCTACCTTTTTTAATGTAATATAATTGATATTTTTTAACAGAAATTTCTATTTGAAATACCATAGCTTAGGATTCTATTTTGAATTTAGACATCCTAATTTCATTTACAAAGTTTTCCCACATTTCATGTCAATGGTTGAACAATCGACAGCGTTGTAATCTGTTAGCAGAACTAACAGATTACAATGCTGTCGATTAGTAAGTAAGGATAAGGGTTGTTATGTAGTATTACATGTTGTATTTTTATAAGTTTGACCAGAGTTTCATTGCTTGTTATTCTGGAATGTAGATGGTACCCATAAGAATTCAATTTCTTTGTCTTGGTTTTCAATTAGTAATTCTCTGATTTTTGTAATGTAAATATTATTCTTATACGAAATAAATACATTCTTCTGATAGGTAAGCACAATAAGTAAGTCGGTTACAATAAAAAATATTTGTCGTCACTTATTCCTCTTATATATTTCGAAGCGGTAAATAGGACTTTGAAGTTGCGCTTACTAGAATAATTTCGCTTCACGCGGTACCTTAGCTTGTGATGTCACGCTACCGATCATGACCGCGAAGACGCGGTTCAGTAATATTAAAAGTTCAGTTTTTGAGCATCGCCTGCATCTTACAGTCAAGTTTTGTTTATAGTAATAAAGCAATAAACTAAAATCTGTTAATATTGTATTATGCTTTAGACTCCAATGAATATTTTTAACGAAAACTTTTTTGAACGGGGTATAGCCACATTCTGAGATATATCACATTTACAAAAACCCTAAATATTACTTTCTCATTCATACAACCACTATGAAAACACATCCAAAAACAAAGTATTATAAGTAAGTATTGGATAGGTTATATCTAAGGTATTAAAATATTATATTTCTACGGAATCCTCGGTGCTCGAGTCTGACTCATGTTAGCCTGTTTTTTTGTACTGATTGGTATCTAAACAAGTTTAACACACAGTAAAAGTAATATCTTTACCTTTTGTAAAGTAGTAGTTTATTATAATGTGAGTTAATAACCGAAAATCAATGCTAGAGTACACAATATTTAGTATTTTACAGACTTCTATTTAATTTCGATGCTGTGACGTCACAGGCGAGTCAGAGGCCAAAGACGTTCCTTGCGAAAATACGTACCTCATCATCATCATCAGCCCTTTTACGCGTCCACACTGCAGGGCATTATGGATGGTTAAGGAGGATGGGCCATGACCCTCCACGCTGGCCCAATGCGGTTTGGAGGATATTAAATGCAGTTGGAAAATGCAGCCGGGACCAACGGCATAACGTGCCTTCCGAAGCGCGGAGTAGCTCGAAATAATAATTTTTAAGCACCCATCCCGTGACCGACCAGTGCGAAAGTTGCTTAACGACAACGATCGCGGACCGCGGCGCATATAGCTTTTTATATTACATTACTCTTTGGCGCATATCCACTATGCCACCGAAGTACACGTACCTACTTTTACATAATCTATAATTTGGTCATTTATTAACGGATTTTCGTTTCTTTCAGATTTATTTTAATATTTATTATATTGCGTTGAATATTTAATATCAACTTCATGAAACTTTCTCATTGGATAATAAACATGACCAAGACAAGACAAAGCTCATGTTTAATCATCGTATCGTCTCGTAAAAGTTAGAATCTCACTTGGGAAAAACCTAATCCACCCCGGGGGCTGAGTGTGGAACATTCCTTACTGGATCCTAGGCACTTCTACAAATTTGATTGGGTATGTCATAAGCGTTTTTGACTAGCCTTCGAGTGAGGCCGAGCGGATGGAGAGTTGCCACCTGCCTTTCAGCATCCAGAATAAAACAAGAGGTTTAGAACTATTTAGACTCAGAGGGTAATTAATGGACTGGAATTTTTATACGCTAGTCAGGTTTTACAGAAAGCGTTAGTTGAAGAACCCACAAGTAACAAGTGTCAGGTTTGGAGCCATTTGATGGCCACATTCCCAGTACAGCTACTTTATATAGCTTAATTTTCACGATGATCTTTAACGCGTCGCTAATGACAGCTTGCTATTGTGTGGACTCTATATTTATCTAATAGCAGAAACGTCAGAAGCATATCGGTTTAATACATGTGGTCAACACATAAATGTGTTTCCTCCTTAATACGTCCTTGACGTTTAAGGCAACAGTAGCCATAGACAATAATTTTTCTCGAAGTCTGTGCTCAAAGTCATAGAGTATCTTTTAAGTGAATGCCACGCGAACAAAAAATTCATGTTCACGAAAATTCCTAAAATTTTGACAACTGTAAAATAATTTAACACGTGTGGTTTACTTTCATAAAATACAAAGCGATAATCAATCGAAACAACTGTTGTAACTAAATAAAATATTTTTATTGTTTGCATATAAAGGGTAAATCCTGGTAACATTTTGAAAACAAACTTGTCCTGTGATGATGTTGAACTTGTGAACCGGCGTTGGTTGGCGTTTTGGTGTGACTTGAGTTTTTTTTGTGTTCTTTCTTTGTTCTTTAGTCATATCGCAAATGAAGTAACTACGTTGCCAAGTGTGAGTTTCATTAGTATTTTGTTTTCTGTAGTGTAGTACCTATTCACGTTGAAAGAACAATGATAAAAAACGAAATGGAGAATGGCGGCGGCGACGCTAATTCCAATGTGTCACCGACCAAACTCATGGTCAATTACATACCCGAGTTGATGACGCGGGACATGATGTACGCATTGTTTTCTGCAATGGGCAAAATCGAGAGCTGTAAATTAATAGCCAATAGAGGTTATGGATTCGTGGAATATGAAAAACACGAGGATGCGGAGAAGGCGCGGGCTGCGTTCAACGGTTTGCTCATGCAAGGAAAGACTTTAAAAGTGTCATTCGCTCTACTAAATCCAGAGAACAAAGTCAGTCACAAACCCGATACCGAATCGAACCTCTACATAAGTAATCTACCTCCTGATATGACGCTGGAGCGTTTAAATAGTCTCTTTAGTCAATTTGGAAATATAACTAACAGTCGTGTATCACAAGGCATCGGTTTTGTGTGTTACGAAAGTCGACCGCAAGCTGAAGAAGCTATCAAACACATGAATGGACAGACACCCATACCTGCAGCAGGCCCCATAGTTGTGAAGTTCGCCAACAAACCGAACGCTAACAAAAATGCTCCACGTCCCACACCACGGGTTGGTGTAGGTGCCACTCCATTAGCTTACAATGGAGCTGCTGCTGTCTTTAATGGAACCACACCTTCCGCATTTAATGGCACGAATTTAAGTGCAGCTTTTGGTACGAGACCTGCAACATTCGCTCCTGGCTTTCCCCAAGCTTCACCACCACCACTCCTGCCATCACCGGGTAAGGCCCTTCCGTTTATAAACAAGGGTCAGCAACGGTTCAATCCCATGGCGGCTGCCAATCACACACCTCTGCCTCTCCTAGGTGCGCCTGCGAGCCCTGTACCGCTATTGGGCGCGCCTCCAGCACCACACCAAACAACTGTGTATGTATACAACATAGGTGAAGATACTGAAGAACTGGCACTTTGGCAACTCTTTGGGCCATATGGTGCCATTGACTCTATAAAAGTGATCAAGGATCCTGAAACTAAGAAAAACAAAGGTTTTGCATTTGTCAATATGAGGGAATATGATGAGGCTGCAATGGCTATACAGGCGCTCAATGGATATACGCTCAATGGACAGGTTCTATCAGTTAGCTTTAAGACACAGAAAAGAAATAATTAGGATGTGTACGGACGTTTTAAACGCCGTCTTATTTGTGATTGTTCCCAGGCCGAAAGCTTAAAAAGAAAGATTTCATTCCAATCTCAAAATATTTTTGTAGTCGAGAAGCGAGATCCTCTATGTGCATTTTAAATTAGTCGCATAAGTATTTTTATAAGATTTAACATAGTTTTATATTCGCGAGAGAGCGACATGACTATCTGTGAGTTTAGTTGGCTTGACAGTATCATATATGTGTACCCACTCTATCATATGATATGGTATTATATTATTGGACTTATGGACCTGTCGCACTATGTATATCTGAACACGGTGGGGGTTTGGGCCGCCCCGCCTCTGCTAGTTGCGTGCCCGGGCTCCCATCATTATCCTCCAGGTATTTTATTTTGTGTAAAACAAAGCATTGTATGTTTTTAATCTTTAATAAATTTCATGTTTAAATACATTTATTGTATATTTCTCTATTTTTTTTTCTATATTATTATTCCCGACCCTGTTATGTCCTTATTTACTTACATAATTATACATAATATAATTATTTGTGGCAGTATGTAGTTAACATGTACAGTATAATATATAATTGTGTGTATTGTCTGTGAGCGGCAGGTCAGCTGTGTAAAACTGCTTAAATATTGCATGTTGTGTAGTCAAAAAACAAAAATAAGTTTTTATTTGTTTATGTTACCGCAGGTTTTGTAGCTCTCATTATTTATGCCGTCATTAGCTCTTAATAAATATTATTTTTGGCACAATCGAAAGTCGGGCCTTCTAGATAAAATCGGGTGTTGAAAACGTTAATATTTATTACGGCACAGTCATGGACGATTTAGAGATAGCTTTAATCTCGTAAATATAAGGCTTTAGAGTCCATTAGGATAGTTTAGTAATGTACAAGTGATAACAAAGCACCGACTGCAGTTAACTACGTGAATATTCATTAATGAATATAGCGTTTATCTTTGGCGCGTCCGTAGCATATAGGAAACAGATTAGATAATGATAGATTCATGGAGTGGTTCAAATTGCCAAGTATTTTTATAAAAAATACAAGTGATTCGCCAGACTGCCACAAATGTAAACAAAACTAAGCACTAGGTGCTATTTGTATAATTAAGTAGGTATTCAATGCCTCCGTGCCTCTTACTTGGGACAATTATATACCAAACTACTGTTTTAGGAGTGAAAGTAGAAAGTAAGTATTATATTAAATCGCGACATGTACACGGTGAGTAATGATTTATTTTTTTAATAAATAAATCAATTTAGTTATTAGGTATACTACAAAATATAATGATATCTAATTCACACAATTTCTAGTCCATTTTTATACTGCTTATGACCTAAATGTTTTATGAAAGTACAATAAATAGAATAAATAAAAGTACAATAAATAACTCCATGGACAAAGTGTTGAAGAGTTGTCAAATCTATTCCTAATAAGCATGACTTAGGTACCTACCCAGTCATTGGTAACACGGTGATAAATAAAGCTCATTTAAAATAGGGATGTAAATTCATAAATCGAAAGATTGTTTATAAACTTTTGCCTAATATAATACGCATACATAAAGGCTATCCCGTGAGCCGACAACTTGCCAGGTCTGCCCTTCTCAAGGGCAGTGTCGCCGTCTGCAAAACATTTTTATACAACTATGTTACAAAGACCTTTCGACCTCCACGAGATCAATGCACGTTAATAAATATCACTCATTCATTCTTATAGGTATGTACGTGGTTGTATCATGTAATATCATGTAATTTATAAATCGATTAAAAAACTTCCTATGTTAACTATGCGTGGGTGAGCTTGAAACATAATCTGGGAGGTAAATCGTCGGGCTTCCACCCTCAACCTAATCACAATGATTTAGGAATATGTTTTTATGACTAAAGAATATTCCTTGACTGATATCAGATTTTCTACAGTATTATTATTTGTTAAAGTTTTGTATTCTTCATTTGTAACATAACTGTAACGACAGTTAAAGTGATTTATAAAAAACATTCCCAAAATTGAATATTTTATTAGTATGTAATCAATCGGTATAGATACATCTTTATTTACTCAATTGGACGCTATCCAAATTGGAAAAAAAAATGCTCTGACGCGATTTCAGTATTTGTACGAGGCCCTCCTACCACCCACTATACCTATTTTATTGATTCATTGTTTGAAGACTCAAAACATCAGCAACTAAAGTACTGTTCAGATCTGTTGGTAGAATAAGTTTTATGATTCTCATCTCCTTACAATGGTGTTGAACTGTTAGTCTGTGTCGGTATTTGTGGAAGGTTATAGCTCGTACGACCATTAAAAATTAATTGCGTCTTGTTTCATGAACAGAATATACTATACGTTATATATAGAATGTGCCGTATATTTTCTTCGAGATATATTTTGGTTCGGCTCTGAAATTTGTTGGCTTCAATTTGAGTGATGAATAACACTGAAGCAAAATCTTAGATTACTCGAAGTTAGGATATTAAGTACAAAGTCTACAGTTTCCCGGCTCTCATCTCTCACCAGAGGGTGCAGGAGAGTTTCACACACCCCCCTTCTTGCTAGGTAACGGACAGTGCTAAAAGCTTTACTCGACAAAAAAAGTGCACTACTAAGTGTACTAGTCTGATTCATCAGAGTACTAATACTTCATATTTATAACACTGTTGTTTTAACTTTAGGCCTGCCATGCCTGCCCAGTTCCGATCATCTTACCTCACCTCAAGTTTATTTCATACGCAGACTGGATTTTATTTACCTATTAATTTGCGTGCAATTAATTGCCTTACAAACATGAAAACTTTGTTAATATTGACCCAAAAACCTTGATGCAATGAACTTCCACAAAGTTACACTTAATCCAATAAAGTAAAGAAAATGTAATCTCATTAAGAGTGAGAAAGAGCAACAACCAATGAGACATGGGAAAAAATAGAGCGCTATTATTAGATAATTACTCGCAAACCATTTAATTGTTATTGTAGACTTTCTTAAACTCGCAACCCTCGGTTACATTATGACTAAAATAGTATAATTATGAAAGAAAATTTCATAAATTCACGTTTAAACTCAATTAGTAGTTACCGTTATGCATATGATGTAGAATGAATTACAGCTATGGACTTTAGTATTTTGGTTTAGGTGCCCTCTTAATAGCCACAAATAACTTCTCATTTTTTGTAGAAGTGCTTGGATTACGTCTTTGTGTCATATTCATGTTAGGTAAAGACTTTATACTATGAATTTAAATTACTTAGTTTTCATTACGCTCCTTACTTAATTTTCATAAGTTTAATTTTGTGTGTTAAATTTTAATTAATTTTGTGTATGGAAACAAATTATTGTTACAAAAAAAATAATAACTGGTAACGTACATTATTGAAATCCTATTAGTTAAGCAACCTTGTCAATATTTTCGAATGGCTTTTTCAAAGGTCAATCCAACTTTGTAATGGCAGGTGTTTCTATTAATTAGAATTGTCTTTGCTAGTTCGCCTACATAATTGTTTGAAGTTAGACATGTCTTTTACATAATGCTTATATATTCCAAATCTGAGAAATACTATAATTACTAACATATACATACTAGACATCATATAAATACACAGACCCGAAACAATTTAAACAAATTAATTTCTTCATTCACTTTACCGGGATCGAACCTAGGACTTCAAAAATAGTGACACCTTAAAACCAGCATTCGACTGACACGAACGTAGAGAAAAGAATAGACCTATGAAAATAAGGCTCTCTTTCCTAAGTTTAATTTGGACTACAAAACTACTGAGTCGTTATAATGAAACTTTTAGTGTACCATAAGTTGAAAGATAAGCAAATGAATAAAAAAATAATAATCATTGCAATCAGACGTCTAGTTTACGAGATATCCGTAGACAAACACAGGCATACATACGCACATACATCTATAAAATTTTGCACGCGTGTTTAGAAGCCCATATAGACCAACATATATGTATATTACGCCATTCCAACGAAATTACATGCATACACCTCGATATGATAACCTCCTTTTTTGAAATCAATTAAAAAGTGACTCATTCGGAAAATTTAGTACTTTTGAATACCGCGGATGATCAAAGAACAAAAGCATTTTTTTAAGCGGCATAGGCAGTTGCCATGTTTTCAGTATAAGACGGGCCGGCCCTATCATCATGTTATTAAAATTTCAAACCGAAAAGAGAAAAGTATATTCGTCAAATTTTATGTGTTTCGTTTCACGGTAGCGTAATATGATAATAGGCAACATGTTTGCAACAACGGACGAATACAAACGGGTTGTTTTTTTTTATCGCTGTTGCTGACCGGCTGAACCGACGCGATCGGTCGTCCGTGCACACTATTTAACGAGTCTCATTTTTGCTATGTTTTTTTTCTTTTTATTATTTTATTAATATTCGCTTTTTACTATAAAAGTGAATTAAGTTGTTAGTCGATCCTGGAATCGATTTTGAAGGTGTCATTTCACTGGATTAGGGCAGCCTGGAGTTATAATATTTAGATTAAACAATTAACCAATGTCTCTAGTATGAAACTTCGTAAAAGACTACTCGAGCGACTAGGAACAACTTAATGTAAAAAAATAAGCAATAGTTCTAGCGAAATTGTTTGTTTAGAAATCTCCAATGAGTTTAGGATTGTCATGGCAAAGCAGTTTGCCAACAAAACACGATGCATGAAAAAAAACGGCATGTTCATCGTTGCTGGTTAAGAGTGCACCTAGCACAATAAAAAATAAATCGTGAAGTACACGAAACATAAAGGCAGGTTTTAAAAAAAATTATATACGGTTCCCTAAAATTGCGTTTTAATATGAAACAGAATTCTTAGTTCGTAAATTATTTTTTGTATGTTTTGTTTTGCTGAGTCTGCCTACTCGAAGTTTCCGCCAAGCCGAGTAAAGTATAAAACAAGCATTGATGCTGGCGAAAACTAATAATTTATACTACTTATGATAATTTTATTGTGTAAAAAAACTTTAGTTCTGTTAGATACAGAAAAAATAAGAGGGCACTCATGCCATAATCACTAACTTCAATCGACTTTGTACAAAGAACGTCCAAAGTGAGAAGACTACGTCATATTTATCAGGGATCTATTACAGCCAAAACGTGATTTTTTTTTCCTGTACAAAAAACACTATTTTACTCTTTTTTATATAGAAAATGATAAATATCTGTGTTAGTTTGTAGCCGAGGGAATTATACAGCACCTTCACTATACTTAATCGTAATAGTTCGCTTATTGTTACGAATGCAATATAGTCTTGGCCTTATTGTCATTGCACCGTCAATCTGATAGATATTGATAACAAAATCAGATTATCTGGATAATATGTGATCTATTTTAATCTGGCAATAATCAACACCTTACATCATAAATCTGACATAAATCTGGGTCACGAATTAATTTGACGCCAGACCGATAATCTAA